GTTTTGGTGGCCTTGTGAGGACGGGAAATGCTGCGTACGTGACGGACCCCGGCGGCTGACGTAAGTAGACTGGTCGCGCCTAGCTACCATTGGGGAATTGGAACGCGTCTGCCTAGGTCTTGAGTGGCGCGCTCTCCCCCCTGAATACGCGGACGGCGATAGACGTGACTCAATCCTCAAAGTCCCTGTGCCCTCTACACTGGTCACCCGTTGGTCACCCTGGCTCAACGACCTCCTCCTCCTACCTCCGCCCCTATGCGGCGAGCCCCCGTCCTCTCCCCTTCCTTGGTCCCGCCATCCGCCTTGCTCTTCATCCTCCTCGTCGCGGCGCCACATCGGTGTCAACGTCCCAAGCCTTACCGTAGTCGGCATGGGACCCCGCGCTCGGCAGCAGGATCCCGCCCCCCGCGTTCAAGCGCCGGGTCGGCCGAAGTTGAAAAAAAAAGAACCCACGATGCTCTTGCTCTCTTTCTCTGTCTGTCTACTCCCTTCCGTACACTCGCTTCTTTCTTCTTCCTCCTCTGTCTCTCTTCTACTCCTCCTCTTGTTTGCTTGTTGTCTTGCTCTTTCGTTCAGATGTTTCTTCTGTTGTGAGCAAGTGCATCTCTTTCCTTTTTCTTTTCCTTTCGTTATAGATACCCACCTATCAATTCTCTCTTACCTACGGTGCCCCCTTTTACCTTTCTAACCGTTCTGACAAAACACCAGGTCGTACAACACAACCTTCCACATTTGCCTGGGAATTTCCACCTGATTCTGTTGTTTCCAGACAAAATGCAGACCCTCCGTAAGAGTTGGCCTCACTGAAAAGACCAGGCAGGTGATACCCAGCAGACCCTACCCCAACCCCAACCCCAACCCCAGCGCCAACCCCAACTTACCCGATTCTACATACAAACCGGCGTAGACGACACTACTATGAATAACTATACTACGTGGTCTGGCGGCTTTCGCCGCCTCGCTCAGTAGATCGATTCCAAGACACGCGATTAGCCAGCGGTGGTAGCAATATAGTGAAAAGAAATCATAAACGGCTTAGTGCACAAAGAGAGAGAGAGAGGGCGTACTCTGGCGGCTTTTGCCGCCCCGCTCAGTAGATCGATTCCAAGATATGCGATAAGCGCAAGCAACTCAGAAAAAACAAACAAACGGTTTCTTGCAGAAAGAGAGAGAGAGGGCGTACTCTGGCGGCTTTCGCCGCCCCGCTCAGAACTGTGCTCTGTTGTTCATGTCTATTTCCTAAGAAACCCCGCCCCTCGCCAGGGAAATTTCGAAGAGATTCGTTATGAAGAGAAGCGGAATAAAACTCCAACGAGACAGACAGACAGATAGTTGTGCTGTTATTATGTGGGACACGCGAGAGGGGTGAGAGAGATGTATTCTGCTACCTGCTGGAGCTTGGTTGGGGGTGTCTACACTGAGAAGCTGTTCCTCGACATGTGGAAGAAGAGACAGAGGCTGGGGTGAAAAGGTAGGTATTGAACGAACGAACACTGTTGGCGGAGGAGCTGAGAGGGCGCCACACCACGACGCATCTTGCCTGCGGTTCAACCCGTCGTGTAGATAACCCGTGCACAACGGGTCCATGGACGTCTCAAATAGTAGAGCAGCTGACTGACAGTATGTCGGAACTGAGAAGAAACCCCGCCCCTTGCCCGGGAAATTCGGAAGAGAAGCGTTCCGAAGAGAAAAGTGGAATGAAAGGAACATCAGGCACCCAAAGACCCAGGACAGATGGTGCTGGGCCATGCAAGAGGGGAGAGACAGACTGATGATGGTGTGTGAGGGGAGACAGAGAGACTGGTGTAAACGTCATGACATTGTGTGGATGGCTGAGAGCAGCAGCAGATGAAAGGGATGGGCATTCCCGTCCGTGCAGAACGAGACAGACAGGTACACTAAGTAAGTACTGTAGTCAAGTTTCGGAAAAGCAACGAAAAGGAAAGTTGAATGTTGTGGATGTTGAACGATATACAGCAACAGTGGAGAGCAACGGGCAAAAGCAGACTGGATGTGTGACGAAGAATGAATGTGGATGTGTGTGTGCCAACTGAGAGAGGAAAATGAAGGCCCCGTGTGAGAGGCGTGCGAAAGGAAGGGTGGAAACGTGGCAGAGATGAAAAAAGCGGGAAAAAGCGGCATATCGGGAAAACTGGAAAATGAAGATTGGAGAAAAATGCAGGCCTGCGAGCGCTCTAGAGACCCCAAATGCAGCCACGTGAGATCCAGAGCGAAACTTCTGCTGCCATTTCGAGGATCTTTCACCCCTTTAGGGCTGGATCGCCTTTTGGGGACACTTTTTGTCCCCATCTTCCTCACCTGCTTTACCTCGCGAAGACTGGCGTGATTGTCTCCTCCTTTGCACTACTCGACCAGGGGGGTGCCAGGGTACACAGGGACGGCTCTAGTCTAGTATGGATGCTTTGTAGAGTGGAGGAGTATGGGGGTAATGAACAGGTCGAATCGCGGGGTGATTATGCCGCGGAATTAACAGCGAAGTTGCGCCGCGTCCGTCTACCCTTGGGTGGAAAGCGCTACTAGGGGCAAGCGCGGAAGAAGTACCTAGCCCACCGTTGAAAGGAGGCACCAAGCAACCCAGGGCTTGAGTTAGAAGGTCTCGCTTTCCCTCTAGAGAAACATCTTGAAAACTTCCTTTTCGTGCCCCGTTTACCACGCTCCCGCCAGTTGCTGTCTATGATCCCTATCAATTGTCCCCTCGATACGAGGGGACAATTTATAGGGATCATAGACAAGAGACGGCTCAAGTGGGAAGGCAGCTTTGCACGTGCACCTAGGGATGGAACTGTCTGCACCATCCAATCAGCAGGCGTCGTTCGCTCTTTTTCTTGCATTTCAGAAATTTCGCAAGAACGCCGAATTTTCTGTGCGTGTATATATGGGGGTTAACCCCTCTGGGTCTAGGCTGGACTGTCAGAATTGTTTTTGTGTGCCAAAAAAAACAATATGAGAGCGAGAGCGAGAGAAGTGCAGAGAAAGACACCAGTGTACTTCTGCACACGCAACAGCTATCTCCACCAGTAGGCCATGAGGGAAGCCGGCGACAGGGTGGTGGCCACAGACAGGGTCGTAGAAGGGTTGATGGGTGGTCGTGCTGCGGTCAGTAGGGCAGGTTAGCTGTGTAGACTTTGAAATGATCAGTCGTCTAGCTGGCTCAACTAGTCTATTTTCAGCATATTGTAAATGATCAGTCCAGAGCGGGTAAAATGATCAGTGAAGACCCATAGCTGGTATTTGTACTTCTGTACTTCTCTGTTCTCTGTCCCCCCCCCTAAATGTGCCCTGCCAGCTCTCTAGCACTCCTGTGTTTTTCAAACAACAAGCACATCCACCAGCACACCAGCACACACCTGCACCTCGTGGTTTCCTAGGTTCGGGCGAGGGTATGTGTGGCGCCACGAGTGTGGATGTGTTGCTGATATGTTTTACTCGTCTACAGCAGTAGTAGTAGTGTTGTTGTAGCGTTTGTTGCAGCTGCTCACACAATGGCTGCTGGATCTTGGGAACGATTTTCAAATTATTGGTAGATGCAGCATACCACGATATCCTCGATATCTGGGCTTCGGCAGGGCTTGCAATACCCCTCCCTTTTGCTGCCCTCTGCTCTTTGCAGCAGGGGCTACGTTCGGGCGAGTGTATGTGTGGTGCTGCGAAAGAACACATATGTATGTATGTATGGTATGTATGTATGTATGCACGGACACGTTCATGTACATACGTTGAGAGATTCATGATTTGGCATTGATTGGCCCCATTCCCGAGACCTTGATAATACCCGCTGTCACTGACGTCTCTTCATTGGTCAGCCGGTTAGAGCGGGTGCTATGTAATAATCTAGACACCCTACCTATGGACTTGCCAATACACAGCGCGAAGGTCTGCAGGGCGGCAACTCCACGACTTGTCACTACCCTAGCATTTGCAAATGGTCAATCAATGATCAGTCAGAACGCCTGAAGACTCAAAAGGGTTAAGTGAAAAAAGTTTTACTGCAGTGTCTAGACTACATGTGTATAGGCCGTACATAGTATGTGGTACAAAATAAGAGCAGCTAGTACTGAACAAATAGCTTACGTTCGACCTGCTGCTGCCGCTGCTGCTGTCGCCGCTGCTCCTCGTGGCTGGAAGCGCTCTTCTTGCCTTCCAGTGATGCTCGAGCTCCCTGCCCTTGCATCTACTACTACCACTGGGTCAGCAGCCAGCAGACTTGGGGGATTAGGGGACGGTACAGCAGTAGTACCGCCATTGCCACCTCTTTCCTCATTGCCGCTGTGTTGTCGTCATCCTCTGTCTGCTTGTCGCGTGGGATACTCTGGCTGGTGTTGTACACTGGCTCACTGGCTCGGCGAGACATGAGACCACGAGAGAGACCAGCTGCACGAGACACGATACAGAAGACACAAGACACAAGCACAGATAACGAGACCACGAGAAGACCTACGTATCATACGAGTCACGAGCCTTCACGAAATCACGACTTCATGACGAGCTCGTCGCCCGGGTTCGTTTCGCGAACCCAAACGTCGCGAAACCAAACCAGGTTCGGCGAGGGGGGTTGGTATGTACATATATGACTGATGACTGACTGTGTACACGGAACCCCTACGATGTTCAGGTTGGGCTTTGTACGATGTTACCAGGCACCGCATGATCGGCTGCTTCGTCCTGTGCAGTGAGTGAACGGTCTTGCGGTTTGCCTAATACCTTGCATCTTGCACCCCACAGTGCCTCGACCACTCTCTTCGCTTCGATTTCAGCCAGAAAACCTAAAGCATCGCTGTCGCAGGTCGTGAAGCAGGGAGCACGTTTGCCGACGCTGGCAGCGTCAGCAGTCGAGATCCTCCGCACTCCCCACTTTCTGTGTACAGCAGGTACTGTACTTGGTTTCCACCATGGCTACTGTCGGAGTAGAAGATATGCTCGGGGTGGGTTCCCTCCACGTGGGCCTGATCGCCGCGAGGGACGTCAAGAGAGTCAAGCAGGGGGGGGTGAGCGACATGCTGGGCCTGTCACCTCAAGCCTCGCCGTACTGCCGGTTTACCCTGGGGGTGAGTCTGCTGTTCTGGAGTCGGTCTCCTACCGCCGTCCATAGATAGATGTTATAGCAATAGACATTTTGGCAAACAAAAATCCAGTGCATACGTTTCAGGAATATGATGGCGTCTCCTGTGTGATTGGATATCGCTGTGAGCGGTGGGCACGACGTTCTTGTCCGGATAGTGGACGCCTCACGAAGGAACCAAACCGCTGTGAAGACCCTTTTCTCCATGCAACGCTTGTCATTACGAATACCAAAGTATTGAACGCGTTTCGAAACCCATCCCGAACGGGTTTCTCTTGTAGAACTTCCTGCACACATTATTGAGTGGAAACACCACGCGGGCCTTTCTCGCCCTTTGCATTGCATTAGGGAACCTCTGCATTACGGGACCTTTTGCACGCACAGTAGTGCTAGGGGAACCTCTGCATTGGGGAACCTCATCGTCACCAACATTAGGGTAACGCTGCATTAGGGAACCTCAACCTGAAATTGGCAGGGAAACCCCACAAAAATAGGGGATACGGTTTCGTATTCAACAGCCACTGCATTAGGGAACCTGACACCAGAGTTGGCAGCGGGACCGTATCCCCCTTTTGGGTGGGGTTCTCCTTCCAATTTCAGGTTGAGGTTCCCTAATGCAGCGGCTGTTGAATACAAAATCGTATCCCTATTATTTATGTGGGATTCCCCTGCCAATTTCAGGTTGAGGTTCCCAAGTGCAGCGTTGCCCCAACGTTGGTGGGGGTGAGGTTCCCCAATGCAGAGGTTCCCCTAGCACTGCTATTCGTGTAAAAGGTCCCGTAATGCAGAGGTTCCCTACTGCATTGCACTTGCAGTGAATCAAGTCTCATACATCGGTGATGTCCTGTGTCCTGTATACTGCTCACCGCCCGTCTTTCCCACGTACCCTTTGGTTTGGCTCTTCGGGCCGTTTGTCCACCCCGGTCACAGGAGTACGAGTTTACAAGCGGTGTTGGGGTCAGGACAACCGGCGGACACTCGTGGAACAGGGAACAGATTTATTTCCCAGTCAAGGTGAGAACCCTCTTTGCAGTTTCTGTTTCTGTGCTTGCAGTAGAGGCTTTCCTCGTAGCATCATACCAACACGCGCCAGCACATAGGTACAGGACAGCACACAGTTTGTGTCAGAGTTTATCTGGTCCGCTTTTCTTTTTCGAGAAATCCCAAGGCAAAGACAAAGTAAAGTTAATTGACAACCTTTCCTACCTTTACGTATGCATCGAGCGGGTGCCCTTTCGAATTCCTCTTGTAGAGATCGCCGACGTTGAACAATTCTGTCGGGACCCCTTTGAAACCTGGTCCGGAGACCAGCAGCTCGAAAGCCACCCGCGAAACCGCGGGACCCCTTTTGAAACCTGGTCCGGAGACCAGCGGCTCGGAAGTCACCCGCGTGGGTCCTGTATTATGCCACACCCGCACACAGCAGTTTGGGTCTATGTTCGAAGGTCCCTATATCTCGACCACAGAACGGATACCGACGATCCTCTGTTGTAGCAATAGGCTGTGTCTCCAAAAATGTTGTCAACCTCTCCTCTTTTGAACTTTGTTCCTGGTGTGGAGAAACTGGGGTTCCAAATTCAACAGGGGGGTGTGAGGCTTGTACCGCGAACCTTATGATTATCCCCATCTCCCCCCCTCCGGTGTTTGCCATCGGGGTTAGGTTTTCGTCGCGTGGCAACGACGTTGTAAAACACGCCGATCACTTCGGGAGCTCGGCAACCAGGTTACCACTTTGTTTTTTGCCTCTGTTTTTTTTTTCACGGTAACCATTGTTTGGTGGAGTAGATTATGTTGTGCGGGGTCGAGGAACCCTCACTCCGGGCAAAGAAATGATCGCACCACGTTGTGTAAAATTGGTCAAGCACCCTCGAGGAGGCAGTTACACAGTGCTTAGTACTGTCTCTGGACGCGAAAGCACCAGAAAAGAAAGTAAGTCATACACAGCTGTCATCCGTATGCAAGGAAGTACGCACAAGATTCCGAACACCCGTAGCAGGATGCAACACACCCTTCATGCGACTCGCCGAATACCTCACGGTGCTTCGCGCTTGGTGATGTGAGAGCCTGGTCCGGTGAGAACCCGGCGTGCTCCGTCCCGGCTTTGTAGGGATGCGAGGTCAATAATCTAACGACTACGGCATGCACGACTTTGCGTACACCCTCCCCCTCCCCTCCCCTCCCTCTTTTGTCGGTCGCCGCCATCAACCAACGGAAGGTTCCTATCTCATGCGTGGTTGGGGGCTCCGGGCAATCGTACCACACGGCGGGAAGCGGAAGCGACGGCAGCAGCACTAACACACGCGGAGGCACCAAGGGACCAAGGAAGGCAGCAACACCCGTAGGGCAACCAAAATCCGGCGGCGAAGGCGGCAGCGGCAGCGTGGCCTGTAGGTCGAGTCTCTCGCGGGCGGTAGCCAACGCTGATGCAGCCGCCGCCCACTGCGTGTGGAACCAGCTGAGCTTGAGGGCTCAAGTGTTTCACCGGGAGGGGGGTGACGGGTACGGTGCAGGGGTGGGTTCAGGAACGACTGCGGCGGCGGGGGGGGGGGTCAAGGGGCCGGGGGGGGTCGCGGCGAAAAAGGTGAACACCTTGTCGTGCAGTGGTGGATGTGTCTTTAAATGTGTTTGTCAGTTGCGTCTTTTGCTCCTGAACCACTCGCTGTGTTGGTGTTTTGTGCTTGTAGCGTGCGAAACCACAATCATCTGCATCTTTCCACTTAGCAATCTCATACGAAGTGCCACTCACCGGATAGTCGGAATGTATGCCTAACCAGTGCACCCTCTCACAACGCAACAAACTCGCGTTGACTGGTCAAACCCGAGCCGGAAGCTCCTTTCGCTTTGGTATGCTGCGCTTTACGGGCTTGATGTATCAAGCACATTGTGGAGAAGACATTGTCGATACGTGTGTACGTGCATGTCAGTTTTTTTATTAGTCGCAGGTAGAAATATTGCCTAGCATTACGTGAATTCTCAAGGGTCCCCGCGCTAGTGTATTGTATTGAGGGCATCGTGGGTATGTCTTCCCTTGGGCGCCTTGCTATTGTGCGATCGTAGCGGGCCGTCCCTGCTTGCTTGATGCCCCTCTTCGCCGCTGCCCTCCCGTTTTGGTCTCGTCTTTTGGGAGAAAACAACCATAACAACGACCCCACCAATGCACGCAAGAAACGGTCGCAAAGTAGCACAAGGTGTTAGATTCTCGACACCCGCCCTGCCGTGTTAACGTTCTTTTCCATCCATTCCCTCACCAAACCACCAGGCCACCACGATGGCGGTCGGCATCACCACTTCCACCACCGCCACCAGCAATGCCAAGGCTCTCAAAGACACCCCGGAAGACCCCGCAGGCACTACCCTCATGGGTGGAAATACCCCTGCCGCTGTGGGCAACGGCGGCGGCGGCGGCAACGATCGATTGCTTGGGGAGTGCTCTCTTAACCTCGTGGAGGTGGTGTCTGGGCGTGCCCCACACGTGGAGGAGTGGGTTCCGTTGGACAGCGAGGGGGAACTCAGGCTGTCGCTCGATTACGACTCGGTGCGGGAGTTGCCCGTGCCCGGCGATTCGGTGAGAGACGGGAGGCAACGAGCACGAACTGTGCCGTTGGCGTATCAAGTTTTTTTCTCGCACAGGAGTTCTTGCGCTGCTGCCCGGTTCCTTCTCTATTGTTGTATTTTAGGTTTTGATATGTGTGTTTTTGATGCGATTATGTGTGGGACCAATGAGTTGTCCCGATCCAATGTAAAGTTCATTCACAGCTCCGGGTGGGGTGTTGGACACGCCAGGGCGGGACCTGTTCGTCTATCTTGTTGGGAATTCTGCTTTCGTCGCTCCTGGCAGATACTGTCCTCTGAACTCGCTGCCGCCGGTTTCTTTCCCCCCCGTCGTCTTCGTAACCCCCCCCCCCCTCCCCCCAACAAAAAAAGAATTTTACCTCCGCAAGTAACCCCCGATGCCCCCACCGACAGGTGGTCTTGCTCTGCCTGTCAAACCGCCTGGATTTCTTCCCACTGCCTTTGTGGGGCACCGCCGATGACCCCTCCCGGCCGGGGTCCCCGTCGTGGTTGTGGCCGAGGGGTCTTTCGCGCAGCGGAGGTGGCGGTGAAGGGTTTCGCGTGGAGGAGGCCGGCGACGATTTTTATCTCCTCTCGTACTCGACGCCGGAAGGGTGGCGGTGCGCGGTCGAGGTTCATCGTTTTCTGGTGGGGTTTACCTGTTCGGCCCGATGTTTCCTTGTCTAGTTTGTGTGTCCATCCTACATCTAATGTGTTCTTGTCTGTCCACCTTCCATCTGCGCGGGTTTCAGCTGTACTGTACCACGGACATGCCCCTCAGTACCCACCCATTTCTGAGTCTTTTTTGTTCGTGCAATACGAAGACCGCCGACCCCAATCCCCGCGACACCGTTCTTCTGCCTTGTTGCTTTATGGCCCGCTGTGCCAGGTGTATCCGGACCCTACCGCGCCTCAACGATGGACCCTCTCTGGTGTCCGGGATCACGCGGCCGCCACCCCCGCAGCGGCGGCCATACGGGGGGCGGTGCTCCGCGCCAGGTGAAGGAGGGGGGGGGGGGGGGGGGTAGACACGCTGTTGATCACAGTACGAACCCCTCCGAAGAAGGAACAAGATATGCTGTTGTTTACATCCAGGACCTAGGTCATGGGTTCTCCCGCTAGGACACCGTCGGTTACATGGGCATCCCGACGTTTTGGAATGACTATGCGTCAAGGACGGATTTGGTGGTGATTTTCAGGCTGGGGTCAGGAGCAGAAAGGACTTCTACTCCTCAACACCTGTTATCATGTGGGGGGGCTTTTTTTTTTCCCAGGAAAGGTACAAAAAAAATGGTTAACCCCTCCCCATTTTTTCAAAAACATTTTTTTTTTTTAACCCCCCCAACCTGAAGGCCGGGGCCCAAGGC